AAAATCAAAGGCTGTGCTATCTCTGACTCCAAAGCTTACTCTTTATAATGGGCCAACTCCACTGGTGGTCCTACTCCACACAGCCATCCTATGGTCTGGGAAACAACAGACCAGGCCCAGGGCTCTAGCCATAACAAGAATTAGCTACTCAAGCTTTCATCTTCTGAAGATCATCTTGCCATGGTTAAGATTAGAAAGGACAGCAAAAAGAACTACTTTAAGGTCCACTTCCCAGTAATCTTGACAATCTCCAGCAATTTCTTTCCTGACCTCCAGCTGCCAGTAACTCAACCAGCCAACTTGTACAACTTTCTTTCTTTCTTTTTTTCTCTTTCTTTCTTTCTTTTTCTTCCTTTCTTTCCCTCCCTTCCTTCCTTCCTCTCTCTCTCTTTTCTTTTCTTTCTTTCTTTTTCTTTGTTTTTTGGGGGGGATCCGGTTGTCGGGTCGCGGGGCCTGAACTCTGGCCCTGGGCACCGTCCCTCAGCTTTTCAGTTCAAGGCTAGCGCTCTACCACTTGAGCCACAGCGCCACTTCCGGCTTTTTTTCTTTTTGCTTATGTGGTGCTGGGGAATCGAACCCAGGGCCTCATGCATGCAAGGCAAGAGCTCTACCACTAAGACACCTTCCCAGCCCCTTTTTTATGTTTTTTATTTTTTGGTTGATCGTGAATCTTGAACTCTGGGCCTGGGCACTGTCCCTCAGCATTTTAGCTGAAGGCTAGTGCTCTACCACTTGAGCCACAGCACCACTTCTGGCTTTTTCTGTTTATGTGGTGCTGAGGAATCAAACCCAGGGCCTCATGCATACGAGGCAAGCACTCTACCACTGAGCCAACTTCCCAGCCCCTTTATGTTTTTATTTTTATTTTTTGCTGGTCTTGGGGTTTGAACTCTGGGAATGGACGCTGTCCCTGAGCTGCTGCTACTTCTTTTTTCTTGTTTTGTCGGTCATGAGGCCTGATCTCTGGTCCTACGCCTGTCCCTGAGCTCTTTAGCTCAAGGCAAGTATTCTACTACTTAGCCACAGTGCCTTCTGGCTTTTTCTGCTTATGTGGTGCTGAGGAATCAAACTCAGGGCCTCATGCATCCAAGGCAAGCACTCCACCACTGAGCCACCTTCCTAGCATGCTGTCCCTGAGCTTTTTTTGCTCAAAGCTAGCACTTGGCCTGCCCCTTGAGCCATAGCACCACTTCCAGCTTTTTCTGAGTAGTTTATTGGAGATTAGTAGTGTCTCACATTATTTCCTGCCCAGGGTGGCTTCAAACTGTGATCCTTGGAGGTGGCACTGTGGCTCAAGTGGTAGAGCGCTAGCCTTGAACTGAGGAGCTGAGGGACAGCACCCAGGCCCAGAGTTCAAGCCCCATGACTGACCAAAACAAACAAACAAAAAAATTGTGATCCTGGGGCTGGGAAGGTGGCTCAGTGGTAGAGCGCTTGCCTTGCATGCCTGAGGCCCTGGGTTCGATTCCTCAGCACCACATAAGCAAAAAGAAAAAAAGCCGGAAGTGGCGCTGTGGCTCAAGTGGTAGAGCACTAGCCTTGAGCTGAAGAGCTGAGGGACAGCGCCCAGGCCCAGAGTTCAGGCCCCACGACCGGACCCCCCCCCCAAAAAAAAACTGTGATTCTCAGATCTCAGTCTCCTGAGTGTTAGGAAAATGGAGGAGAAAGGAAGGAAACAGGCTAGACTCCATCCCAACAAGCTAGGACTTTTTATTGCCAGCGAGGGACACAGAGCTTCCCCAAGGTATGGAGGTTGTGTGAGGGGGAGGGTCTGAGCAAGAAGATAGGGGTGACATGAGTTTAATATGGGGTTGGGGGGAGTGACTGCAGGTGCAGGGAGAGAATAGGGTATTTCCTTATCTAAGGTCCCAAGCTTTTTAAATGTTTAAACAGTTCTACATTTGTCTTGCCTAGATGGTTTGACCTTCACCGCATAGTTTTTAGTCTTCCCACCTCTTAACCCTTTCCTGGCCTCACAGCTTGGCCTCAGAGCCATATAGGTTGCCCCCAATGGAATGTTTACAGCCAGGCTCAGGTGGGATTGCCCTGCCTGTGTCAGGCTGTCTACACAGATCTTTGGTGGCTTGCCTGGTATTTGTATGAACCTGGGAAAATAGGGTGGGAGTTAGTCCTTCATTGAGTAGCTAGGCTTACAGGTGTGAACCACTGGTGCTGGGCTTGTGCAGCTTTAATTCACATAATAACCTTCCTTCCTTGACTAGGTATATTGTTAGGCTTATTATAACCACTTAACAGATAAGGAAATGAAACTCAGGGAGGTGAAAAGCCTTGTTGGGTTATACACATGTATTCAGTGCTCTGAAATTTGTACTTAAGCCTTGAAAATCATTGTTATTTTTCTGTATTTTGAGCTGGGTTTGTTGCTTTTTTTTTTTTTTTTGGTCAGCCGTGGGGCTTGAACTCTGGGCCTGGGCGCTGTCCCTCAGCTCTTCAGCCCAAGGTGAGCGCTCTACCAATTGAGTTACAGCGCCACTTCTGGTTTTTTTCTTTTTGCTTATGTGGTGCTGAGGAATCAAACCCAGGGCCTC